CGTACTTTGGAATAGCTTTCCTTTTTCCAGAACTGCCTGCTGAAGGTCAAGTGACTCTATCATGAGACCCTCTTTGCAGGGTCCCATCAAGGGATGATGATTTAGCATTGCCTAGCAGAGCCCACCTCAAGAAACCCTGTGAACATTACTGCTGCACTGTCCTACCTCTATTCCCTGCAGAGTGGCTCAGGCTTGCCAGGATGCTGTCTTAGGAGAGAGAAGGTCTATGGGTATGGAAAATGCCTTTTTGGGGGAGAAGTGAAAGGATATGCAGGGAGTCCTCATTTTGGCCTTGCCTCCTCTCCATTCACAATAAAACAGGAGATGTGTAAGACATTTATTGCTTATGTCCCTTGTCATTACCAAACCATTGCCTGCCTGTCCATAGCACCCCAATATTTCTTAAAGGTTTACAAAACTGTTATCAATTCCCAAACAGTGTTCTTAAGTTTTATTTATTTGCCAAGCATTTTGAAAAATTTTGCTAGTATATCATCAAGGTAGAAAATAAACAATAAAAATGTACACAGCCTCAGAAAACAATGCTAATGAATTCTTTATGTTGCCACATACATTGTTAGAAAAATAGTGAGCTCTGGCCCATTCCCCATCTCTACTAAAAATACAAAAATGAGCTGGACGTGGTGGCACATGCCTGTAGTCCCAGCTACTTGGGAGGCTGAGGCAGGAAAATCACTTGAACCCAGGAGGTGGAGTTTGCAGTGAGCCAAGATCATGCCACAGCACTCCAGCCTGGCAACACAGCAAGACTCTGTCTAAAAAAGAAAAAGAAAGAAAGAAAGAGAGAGAGAGAGAGAGAAAGAAAAGAAAGAAAGAAAGAAAGAAAGAAAGAAAGAAAAAGAAAAGAAAAGAAAAAAGAAAAAAGCAACCATTTGCCTTAATTACTTTAAGGGAGAGAATGAGCTTGCAACAGCAGATGTGTCCCTACATTCTATGTTTAATATTCAAGGTGCGGAGCATGCTCAGAGGTGGAAATAAGCTTACAGTACATCTTCCAAAAGGCTAAAGGTATGTGCCCCACAGTCCTTTAGGGTTCTACACACTGGAGGCTGTGCCTGTATTCTATGTGAAGCCAGTGAAGCAACATCTGTCCAAAGACAGGGGAATGTTTTCCACCTCTTTTATAAATGCGTGCAATCTGTGCTCATGTATATTTATACAAGCCTGCTTTCCCTACTGGGAGGAAAAAGTCAGACTCATTGACGTTGTTTTTGAACCTCAAACTGAACTTGATACTATCAATGTACACTTTAATTAAAGATTAGGTCAAACCTATTTTTTATTTAAAGGCTGATTCTGAACAAATGCCTTCACTGTTCAATTTTAAAAACTATGGTATTAAACAAACAAAAAGGTACACATTATTGCTTCTTTCTGTGTTTGTCACAGTAAATACTTCTGACAGATGTTTCCTCTCTTTGCAAACATGATAGGAGGTGCTTGAGCCTTAGTAATTTTAAAATAGACATTAAATGCATTTATATATTACATATAAGATCCTGAGAATACTGTGTACCACCATACAATGAAAAACAAATTGTTATTTGATTATTTAACTATCTTTCAAGCCCAAGCAATGTTAATAGAGTCAATCCATCTCTTTCGTTAATGTAAAAATAATAACTTCCTAGCTGGGTACAAATGCCCTTAATTTCAGATACCTTTAAGGAATGCGAATCACTGAGACCCATAATTCACAGGAAATATTCACTGTATGTTATTTAACTATTTCTAAAATACCTAGTATCCTTTGTCAGAATATGGAAGCATTGGGTTTCTTTGAATTAATAAGTGAACTTGAATAACAGTTAAAAAAAACTTTCCTTCACCACTGTTAAGGTTATGTTTGAACAGTTGTAACAACAGATCTATGTGCTTAGGAAAGAATTTTTAAAACTCAGATATTTTTAGTCACAAAACTCTAGGATAATGTTATATAAACTCACTTGCAAAGTTCAAAATGACTTTAATTTTGCTTTGTTAAACATAACAGTCTATTTAATTTTATGTGCAAAATAAGCTTATGTGTATCAGTAATATAGGTATAATGTTAATATTTTTATTTGCAGTTCTCAAAGAACCATTTTGAAATTAGGATACTCCCCTCCTTCCCCAAAAAGTGCAAGAGTGGTAAGCAACATAGTTTTTTAAGGCTGGGTGAGGTGGCTCATGCCTATAATCCCAGCACTTTGGGAAGCTAAGGAAGGAGAGAGGATTGCTTGAGGCCAGGAGTTTGAGGGCAGCCTGGGCAACACAGTGAGATCTCATCTCCATAAGAAAAAAAATATTCCAGTGTAATAGCACATCTCTGTAATCCCAGCTACTTAGGAGGCTAAGGTGGGAGGATTACTTAAGCCTAGGAGGTTGAGGCTGCAGTGAGCTGCAATTGTGCCAGTCCACTCCAGACTGAGCAACAGAGCAAGACCTTGTCTCAAAAAACGAAAACATTTTTTAGTTAAAACAGACTAGTTTTAGTTAAAACAAGCTAGTTTTTGTGACTTCTAGTCAGTCTCAACTCTGTCAATGTTTTACTCTGTGAACAAGTGTTATATAAGACCTAATTAAAAAGAATTACATTATTTTCCATTTTTAAATGCCTGTATTTTGAAAGCTGAACCTTCATTATCCAAACAAATGTTAAAAGACAGTAGAACTCTTTTAAGAATACGATAAACCCCATTTTATAGATGGGAAAACGAGGCTTGGAAAGGTACAATCAGAAGGACCCAAGGTCACACAGTTGCCATGAACAGAGCTAGGACTTGAACACAACTCACTGACTCCAATAGACAACCTCTCAAGTACTCTGCTGTGGACTCTCAAACAAAACTGCCCTTAGGAACAGGAAGGGATAATAAGAGAGAACAGGTGAGGAGGTGATTAAGGTGAACTGGAAAGCACATGCAGCTGTAGTTGTTTAGCTCCACAACGGTGTGGCCACATGGACATGCATCACACTAGCTGGCAAGTGAGATATCTTGATTATGTAATCATATGATTTTTAAATATTTAACTTTTTCTTTAAAAATAACCTGCACAGGCCAGGCACGGTGGCTCATGCCTGTAATCTCAGTACTTTGGGAGGCCGTGGCGGGCAGAAATCACGAGGTCAGGAGTTCGAGACCAGCCTGACCAACACAGTGAAACTCCGTCTCTACTAAAAATACAAAAGTTAGCTGGGCATGGTGGCTCATGCCACTACTCAGGAGGCTGAAGCAGGAGAATTGCTTAAACCAGGGAGGTGGAAGTTGCAGTGAGCCAAGATCGTGCCACTGCACTCCAGCCTGGGGAACAGAGTGATACTCCATCTCAAAAAAAAAAAAAAAAAAAAAAAAAAAAAGTCATGTACTAGAATGGGTAAAAAGAAAAAAACAAAAACTGATAATGCTGGCTAGGATATGGAGCAACTGGAACTCTCATGTACTACTGATTGGAATGCAAAAATAGTACAGACACTTTGAACAGTAGTTTGACATATTCTTTTATTTACATATTTATCTTTTGAGAGACAGGGTCTCATTTTGTTGACCAGGCCGGAGTGCAGTGGCTCAAACACAGCTCACTGCAGCCTCAACCTTCTGGGTTCAAGCAATCCTCCTGCCCTACCTTTCCAAGTAGCTGAGATTACAGGCATGTACCACCACACCCATTTAATTTTTTAAATGTTTTGTAGAGACCAGGTCTCAATATATTGTCCAGGCTGGTCTCAAACTCTTGCACCTAAGCAGTTCTCTCACCTCAACCTCCCCAAGTGCTGGGATTGCAGATGTGAACCACTGTACCCAGCCAGTTTGACATATTCTTATAACATTAAGCTGGGTGAGATAGTACATGCCTGTAGTCCCAGCTACTTGGGAGGCTAGGTTGGGAGGATCACTTGAGCCCTGGAGTTCAAGCCTGCAGTGAGCCAAGATTGCACCACTGCATTCCAGCCTAGGCGACAGAATGGAGCCTCCTTCAAAAAAAAAAAAAGATAAACATACATTTTAACACATCTAGCAGCTAGCAGTTCACTCCTGGTTATTTTCCCAAGTGAAATGAAAACATATACTCACAAAAACCTGTACCTGAACATTTATAATATTCATAATCACCAAAAACTGGAAACAATCCAGAGGTGTTTCAGCTGAGGAATGGATAAACTGTGATACATCTGTACAATGGAATACCATTCAGCAATACAAAGGAATAAACTAGTGATATACTCAACAATGTGGATCTCAAAAGCATTATGCTAAGTGAAAGAAACCAGACTCAAAAGGCTACACATACTATATAATATACTTCTATTTGTATGACTTTCTGGCAAAGGCAAAACCACAGAGACAGAAAACAGATCCGTAGCTGCCAGGAAATGGAGGTGGGAGAAAGGGTTTACTGCAAAGGGTCAGCACAAGATAATTCTGGAGAATGAGAGAAATGCTCTGTATCTTTATTGCATTGATGGTTACAGACATACGTTTATGAAAGCTTGCTGAACTGGGTGAATTCACACTGAAAAGGGTGAATTTAACTATGTAAATTACTATTTAAACAATGAGGGAAATAGTTGAAAGGTGAAAAAAGTACCAATTAATCTATTGTTTTATATACATATAAAACACTTTAATATTAAAAACAAGATGAAATAAATTGATATGCATGATTATTTTGCATTATAAGGACAATCTGGATGCAAAATATAAGAAGTCCCAGACACCTCAAATTTGCTTCATCCTAGACCTGGTCCACCTTTCCTCTAATATTCTTATTTCCATATCTCTCACGAATCATAGATTTTTCACATGCTTCACTATATCAAGAGGAAAATCTTTGTTTCTGCTTCCTTTTTAAAGCCTGACAAGATTCACACAGTTTGGCGATTAATCGTTAGCCTTTAATATTATTATTGTGTCCTAGATTCTATATGTTTGCTACCTTTTCGGGATACTTTCATTCTTTTAGTTTAATGCTTTTTTCCCCTCTATATGCAAATACAGGAATCTCTCTTTGAAGCAATCTGGAAGCTTGCTTACAAAAAATGATGTGCATGAACGTCACCTTCTCCATAACCCCAAAGAAAAAGAAAATTTGTTTGTGGAAAATGAGTAAATTCAGCCTCACGTGACAGGAAACGTTTGATTTTGTTTTTAGCCTTATAGGACTAGGCAACAATATTTTTTGTGGGTTTGTAGCTTTATGGTATCTCACTATATAAGAAAAACTTTTAAGTTCTTGTTTGATTTACTGCTTTATACAATCGGAAACTTTGCTTTCTACCTGTGAATTCAGGGACCTAGTTGATTTATTCCTCATTATATACAATTTACTGGGAAAATATGTGTTTTTCATTCAGCAATAGAAGCCCCTTCAATGGCGCGATCACAGTTCACTGCACTCTCAACCTCCAAGACTCATGAGATCCTCCCATCTCAGCCTTCGGGGTAGCTGGCTACAGATGTGAGCCACCGAACCGGGCCTCTTTTTGAGTCAATAGAATTTGGGTGTGCTTCTTTCTAAAGTGTAAATCTAATTACAGTTATTGGATGGGAATTGAGATGAAAGCCTCAGTACCATTCTGATTCACTAACGTACTAAATCTGTGGGCCAGTATATCCAAATAGTGCCACCATTACTACTGACGGCTTGGTTACGGTAGTTCCAACTTAGAAATCTACTGGAAAGTGTGAAATCATGGTGCATATACAAGAGCGCAGTTTCTTTGGTGACATTTTAAATTTGATATTCCGTTTGACCCCAAAGAAGGTAAGAAATATCTTGCTCTTGGCTTGAGCCGGAGAGTTGGAGGCTGCGGGGAGTCGAGATGGCCCCACTGCACTCCAGCCTGGGCGACAGAAAACGTGTCTCAAACACACACAAAAAAGACAGAAAACGTCCTATCTACGATGTGAATTTCTGGCATTGTTTCCAGTGTGTCCTAATTATGTTGCTAGAACGTACTCAGATTTCACCTACGAAAACGACGGGTCCAGGACCTGCAGAAACCGCCGCGGGCTCGGGCGGCCGGGGGCCCACGGCTTCCTGGGGCGGCCCCGAACAGGCCTTGGGGCGCAGCGCCCGCTTTCTAAAGAAGCCTGGGATCGGATCCCGCCCCGCTGCAAGTCGCGCTTCCCGTGGGTCCACAAGTACACCACCAGAAAAGAATGTGAGGTCCAAATAAAGAGCGGTGGCCCCCGCGGGGGCGGCGGCGGCAGGCAGGGTCCGCGCCCTCGGCGAGGAGCGCCCGCGATCCCAGGGCTGTCTGCTCTGGGACACCGGGAGCATTCGGGGTCTGGAGGGAAGTGCGGCGTACTCCCCGCTTCAGGGTAACTAGGCCAGCTTGACTCTTTTACCTTGTGGCAGAATAAACGGTTAACGCTTCGAAGTGGCACGCTCGACTTTTTCTCACGAAGCCTAAAAGTCACGCTCAACCAAATGGCAACGTTCCCGCCTCAGGGGGCGCCGGCCTGGAATCAGACTGGACCGAGGAGGTAGGACCTGGGCAGCGCGAGGCCAACCACAGACCTCGAGCCCGGCCCCAGCGCAGCCGGCGGCCGACAGCCGAAACCCGGGACTCCCAGCACGCGACCCTCAGCGAGGCGCCCGAGCGAAAGCGGCGCGTGGCGGAGAGCCGGTGGGAGGAGCCCGGAGACGCCCCGCCCCCTGGGCCCGCCCCGCCGGCCGGTTTGATTAATGACCCTCTAAGCCGCCTCAGCCCCCGGCGTATCCCTTCGGGTGGGCGCGGTCCTCCGCCCGACCTGCCCTAGGAGGTCGGAGCACACAGGCTTGGCCGCTGGGTGCCCGCATAAAAGGCGCAGCAAGCGGGCATTGGAAGCAGCCGTCGACTTGGGCTTCGGCCGTACGCTCGCACTGCGGAGCCGAGCCGCACTCGGCCGCTCCAGGAAAGGTGAGGGCCCTGTCAGACGCCCACTGCGCGGCTCCCGGGCTCGGAACGGTGGCGGTGCCGCACTCCGAGGTGAAGCCAGAGGTCCCCCCCTGCTCGGGCAGAAATTCCCCCTGACGTGAGGGGCCGAGGGCGGCTGGCGCGCAGTAGTTTTCCGCGGCGTCGGCGAGAGGGAGCCGCGCTACCTCCTGTGCGCGGTGAGCTGAATAACGTGGCCGGAGCGCTAACGAGTGCCGATCCCGGGCTGTGCTTCCGAGATCTTTCTTCTCGGGTAGAGTAGCCCTTTCGTTTAATTTGTCCCCGAAAAGCAAAGCCGCCACCGCGCCCCTCCCTCCTCATCCTTCTAGGAAGCCCAAGAACTCCAGGGCCCCCCACACCTCTCCCCAGACGTCGGGAGGCAAAATGCGCCCGACCGAGAGCGCCCTCGGGCCCGCTGGGTGGCGGGTGGGCGCGCTGGGAGAACCAGGCGGATGCGTCTCTCGAGTTAAGCCCGACGGCGCCCTGGCCTCACCGCGCCTTCGGTCCTTTGCAGCGCGCGCGGCGCGGGAAGCCGCCATGGACCGCGACCGCCCCGCGGGCAGCCCTCTCAGCGCCAGCGCCGAGCCTGCGCGCCTGCCCGCCGCCGCCGGTGACTCGAGCCCCGGGCGGACAGGGCCGGGGCCGACGGGCCCCGGGGGCGGCGCGCGTTCTGGGGGCGGAAGGCCGGCGGCGGCGAACGCAGCGCGGGAGCGCAGCCGGGTGCAGACACTGCGGCACGCCTTCCTGGAGCTGCAGCGCACGCTGCCGTCCGTGCCACCCGACACCAAGCTGTCCAAGCTGGACGTGCTGCTGCTGGCCACCACCTACATCGCTCACCTCACCCGCAGCCTGCAGGACGACGCCGAGGCACCGGCGGACCCCGGGTTGGGCACCCTGCGTGGCGATGGCTACCTGCACCCGGTCAAGGTAAGCGGGCGGGGCCCACCGCGGGGCTAGGGCCGAGACCGGGACACCTCGATCCGCCCTGCTAGTCACCGTCCTGAGTAGATGCTCTCATTACTTTTCGGGTGAGGGGGGAAACCGATCAGGAGAACGACCTCAGCCCACGAGGGTACTGGTGGCAAGGTCCCTACCGCGAGAGGCTGGCTGCTCCTTCGCAGTTCACAGGTGGTGAGTGAGGCGTTTAAAGCCGGGGTGGCTTGGGTAAGAGCCTCGCAGGCCCCTTACAGGATGCAGCAAAAGGATTTGTGCGCCTTCCAAGGGGACAAATGGGGGCTTGGTTGCACATCCTGATAATTTTTAATATCTGAGTTACATGTGTGACTCTTTGAGAGTTTTTAAGCATCTTTAATTTACATAATTACACTTTCCTTGATTTTTATGGGATATTTGAAAGATTTCACTGGAGTAGGAAAACGGTGTTGAAAATGTTTTGGTGAAACTAATAAGAACAAATAAGACCATTCTGCATCTCCATGGGGTAAAATTTCAGTCCTTTTAAATAAAAGTTAAATATCATAGACTTGACAACTACCAAAAGTGTTAGAAAAAACCTACAGTGTTTTAAGTACTTTCGTAATGGATTGGCATGTGTGTTGAGTGAATTGATTACTAAATTCAAAGTCTGTAACGTACAAAATTAGACAAGAGAATCCATTTTGTGTAGTTTCTTTACGTATAGGTAAAATGGTCAGTTTTCACTTAACATGGTATATATGATTATGCTTCATTACCTGTTACAGTATCCAGTCCTTGCATCATCCTCTTCTCCTAGATTTGATTGCTTTGAAACCTTACACTGATCTTTCTGTTGCAAATGCATCATCTCATTATTTGCTAAACCTAAATTTTCAGAGTTTTGGTTCCACCATCCTGAAATATTTCGCAACACACACAAATGCAAAGTTAAGACTTAAGACTTAGCTTTTAGTATATCAGTGTTCAATAAATTATTTGATAATCATTATTTAATGTGTTAAAGCACACCTTCTGATATTATCTGAACTTACAATTGTGTGGTAAGATTTAACAAAATTTACTTTGCAAATATAATCATAATGATAGACTTAAACAATTTCAGTGTTATATATGAAGACATGAAATATCATTTATTTATAATTATGACAGACCTTATTTATAAGTTTTATAATCTCAGCAAAAAAGTCATTATTGAGGGGCTTTGTATTACCGTGTTCATTAGATTGCTATTCAAATATACCATTAATATTAAATTTTTCTTGACTTGACATTTGCCATATACTCTAAGGAAGTTTATTTTAACATTAAATAGATTGTAATACAAAGAGCATCTGTTAAATGCTTTATGGGAGATATAATTCAGAATGAGAAATCAAGATGTTTTTCATATTATTTTCTTGGAATGCTTTTTTTGAATAAATAATGTTAGAAGGGTCATGTCCATGTAACAATAAGCACTTGATTCATATACCAAATGTTTTTTTAATCATAACTTTTTCTTTGTAAATATTTTTTATTTTAAAAGACAAGTCCTAATGATACAAAGCCAAACATTATTTCTTAAAAATGAAATTAATGTTGGTTGAACAAGTGACTAAAATCAAGCAAACTTTAAAATCAAACATTTATTGAATTCCTTCTATGTGCAAAGCACGATTTTAGGGGAGTGAACACCATTATGAATAAGACTCAGTCCCTTTCCTATATGAACATATTATAGAGACAAAGACAAAGAAATAAATAACATTATTGGAAGGGAGAATGTTGTATTAGCCATAAAAGAACTATAATTATGTGCTATGGAAGTTCAGAGGAAAGAGATATTATGTACATAATTGAAACCGCCTGTTAACTGTTAACACATTATTTTACAGACACTACCAAAATGTTTAAACGTTGTCTACCTTTGATTAATGGGAAAGAAATGAAAATATTCTAATTATTTGTACTTTTGTGGTTAACTAAGGGCTCATTATAAACTATTGCTTAGTAAAATGTATTCTAAAATGACTTCACTTTTCTGCCTTATAACATAAAGTCTTACCCTGATGATCAAAGCTTTTTTAACAAATATTTCAAGGCCATTATTTTGAATCATCAGTCCTTATTGTCAGTATCATTAGCACATTAGCACTGTTGGGGATTTACTTTAAGAGCATTTCATAGCAAGACTACCTCTCTACTAAGAATTTTTAAAATCAGGTGGCTGTGGTGTGTGCACCTGTAGTCCCAGCTACTTGAGAGGCATATGCGAGAGGATCACTTGAGCCCAGGAGATTGAGGCTGCTGCATTGCACCACTGCATGCCTGAACAACTGAGCAAAAGCCTGTCTCAAAAAAGAAAAAAACATCTCAAATGAAACTGGAGGT